CTTGTGTTGCGATTGAAACGTCGTAGTTATTTGTCGACAAAAATTTGTTCTACGTGACTTTACCGAAAGACCCAAATAATATTTTGTTAAGTGGGTAAGGCTGAAGTGGCAACCGCCATGTATCATTCATTGCAGAGCAAGGGAATGGCTGAATGAAAGGCTCATTGAGGTTATTAGCAGTGGCCTACAGATTCTGCTTCACATCCAATCAAGCCGGCCTCCCAGCCAGGAATAGCTTTATTTTTTAAAGAAATTAATAACATCCGTACAGCGTGGCCGATTAAAGCTCTGGGAAGGAAGCAGGCCAATAGCAAAGCTGGTGCGGCTGTGTGCAAGGAGTACTTTGCTATCCACTGGGAATTCATGTTCACTGCTTTCACTTACAAAAGTTAGACAAATGTAATTAAGACAAAAGTGAATTAATTTTAATCCTTGAAAGTTCACTGAACATCCACAGATTTTGATGAAGTTACACAATATATGCATCACACTTTCTGCGTTTACGATGACCAAAATATACAGCTTCTGAATATTTCACGAAGAATCGTAAAGAATAGGATCTGTTTAATGTGTCCCACTGGTGGCTCATTTGACGTCTCAGATAACCGTCGTGTCCTTACTTGAAAAACACTTATGGATAAATTAGAAAATATTTAACAGCACTTTGTCAGTCCACTGCTGGATAAAGGCCTCCCTATGTCATGTTGGTCAGGGGTGTAGTTTGACCATACCTCACCGTGCTGGTCCGTGCAGGTTTATAAGAATGGGGGAGGGGGGGTCCAGGACTAGTTCAGATGTTTACTCGCCACTCACGTGAGGCCTGGCTGAGAATCAAACTTAGGTCGCCAGGTTCACAGTGTGGCGTGCGAATCACTGCGCCGCCACTCCACCCCTCGTGATTTCCACTGTCAATATAATATGACGTGCGGCATTATTGCTACGAACTAACGTGTTACTAAACAAGAGATTTAACATGGAAACTATTTTGTCAGCACCTTTTCTAATGCAACATATCCGTGGTGGAGCAACAAAATTGGTCAGATTAAAGAAAGCGTGACGATTTGAAATAGCCCTCTCTCGATTCTCTGCCAAGCACAGCACACGACGTCAGGGAACTGATTGCGTCTTGAAATTTGGCTGTAGCTTTGTGGTTTTATCCACCAGCTCCAGGCAGCCTTTTGCTGTTTCTGGATTTAAATTTCCTGGTAGAAGAAGAAAAATGTAGGGTTGGCAAGAAATGAGAAAAAACTTTCAGAACACGTCTCAGCAAACCTAAGCAGATCTGTTTCAAATCACTCGCATGTCCTAATGTACTAATGTCTAAAACAATGTTAGCAGCATGTTGCACTAACACTCTTTGTTTAAACCATGCTGTTGCCAAGACCTAGGTAAAGGCATTGGAAGGACTCTCGGGGCTAATGTGTGAGCAAGCAGCTGTATGTTGTACTGCCTCACTGAAACGCCTCACAGGTAATCACTGGATCAGAGCCCACTGATGCAAAACGAGGTCCGCGCAGCGAATTCACGACGTGGCTTTTAGCTATGCTCAAAACGATTTCTTTTAAAAATAAAACTTGATATAACTAAAACAGATGCAATAAAACTAACATGTGGGGGCATGTTTCGCGTGCAAGGTCCTAAATATCCCAAAGCACACACTGCAGTACACACACTACGTGCATCGTTTTTGTGCTGAACTGGACTCCATCGCTTCAATTGAGAGCTCTTGCCAATGAGATCTGCTATTCCAGCAGCATTCATTGAATGGACTTGACTCTGCTGATGAGATCAAAGAGGGTTGAGATCGGTACATAGTTTTCTTAACTTAAATGGGTGTTCCTTGGCAAATGAAATAAAAACAAATATTTACATGTAGAAACACAACAGAATGTTGCTTATATACTGCACTGCAGAGTTCAGTTCGGCTGGGTATCAAGCGCAACTGCGGAATTTAAGGATACAACTATTTTGAATGTAAAGGTAGGCCGTTGTGCATGCAAAGTGTGAGCACTCCCAACTCGTCCAAGACCTCAAGGCCAACGTGAGAGAGTAGGCCACATACCCTATAGGTAGTGCTCTCGACTCTAGAGCTCTCTATAGCTTGGCGGCCCTTCCAGCAGCAGTGGCGGGAGAAGGAAAAAAACACAGTGCAGGGCTGCACCTTCACCTTATTTTACATTCAATGCACTAAAGAACGGTGCAAAGCAGCATGTCTTTGTCTATGGTCTTTTTCTAGGGCAGTGGTTCTCAGAGTGTGGACTCCGGACCACCAGCGGTTTGCGTCGGTCCTCCAGGTTGTCTGCGGGGCTGCTGATGCAAATGCGGGTTGATCCGGAAACGATGACAAGGCTTTTTTGTTTAAGAGGTCAACTCGTGATATATATATTAATTAGGTTCGGTAAACTACCCAGTTTAAACTACCCTAATCCTAATATCTAAATGCCCTCATGAAAAAAAAAACCTATAGCTGCGTTTAAAATAAATGTTTTTATGTTCCGGTCATATGAATCATTTTGTATTACCGCTATTTAGATATAATGCGTTTTTGTCCCCAGGGGTAGGGGGGGGGGGCAGTCCGTGGAAATGTTTGCATCGGCGGAGTGGACCGCGGGCCAAAAAAGTTTGAGAAACACCGGGCTAGAGGTACTGTGGCCAGTTGGGCAGGAAACTAGGACCCTCATTTAACATGCATAGGATATGAGCTTCGTGCCTGTATGGGGAAACATTATATTTTATTTTCAGTTAATAGTCGCTTTGTTCTTTAATATTAACGCTCATCACGTGAATCAATGTGTAGTGTTAACAAGAAAGTTGCAACTTTAAAATGTAGACATTCTTTTACGAGTTGGGGAATTGGATCTGTGTCATTTGCATGTTAAGTGACGCTGTCTCGGGCCGTTCGGCCTCAGCTACAGCGTCCACTTGCTAACACACGCCAGTCTAATCTAGTCAATGTTTCCTAACATATTGCTTTTTCACTAAATAAAACATCATTATACTTAACCGTCAGAAATAGGTAGATAAGATGCTTTTATGTCGTTAATTAAATGGCAGTGTAATGCGATAATTGGAACCTGATACCAGTCAGCTGATTTGTATTCGATTATGCCAACTAACGATTGGGGTGGGGGGGAGGGGAAATGCATCATATTCTATCAGCTCAGAATAAAAATCAGAAAATAATTAAATTCGACACAATAATGTCCCATCAGACCAAGAACATGTATCCCTACAAAATACTGATGCAATATCTATGTTCAAGTGAACTCGGAATGAGGACAAAAGTCCAAATTTATTTGAGTCAGTTCTACATCTGAAATCCATTAAATTGGACATTTTTTATTGTTGAAATAAATGTTACAAATACATGTATTAGTTCTCTCATATTTTAACATGTATAAACCCAACACGATTGTCTCTTACAATCAAAAGTAATGCTATAAAACATTGCCACAATGCAATTCTCTGCACAATGTGCAATGCTACTGTCAAATAATTTAATGTCATCTAAATGCAAGTAATATAAAGATGGGATGGTGCACATCTCAGTTGGTGGTGTAACCACCACCTTTCCAAGGCAGAAGCTAATACCTGCATAGGACACAGTTCACATTTTAAATCGTCATAATAATCATCGACAATCATGGTCAATCCACTGCTAGATGAAGGCCTCCCCAAGCCACATCTCTCAAACCTACAATGACATTTCTGGTTGTAACAAGAACATCCCAAAGGTTTTAAATTACCCTACATCTATGAAATATTATCATATTTAGATCACCATTAAAATGTTTTATAATGCTATAATCTTATTAGTAATCCATTCATTGAATTTAACAAATAATACAAATGAAATATGTGGAACATATTTACTCACAATATTGTAATGCAACATACTAACGTGCCTGAAGTGGAACGTTTTTAATCATTGCAAGTTACCTCCTATGGCACATGGATCACTACTAGTGGTGAACAGTGCCGGATTAAACTAGCATATGTTATAAAGGGGCCCTAAAAAAAAACTTTAAATGTTTAACTTGCATAGCAAAGTCATTGTAATTTTCCATTTGCTATACAGCCAAATAATACGACAAATCGCTAACCTTAAACACCCAGTCGTTCATAAAAGTTGAAGGCAGTATCTGAACCGGAATTGAAAGCTTGAAAGCATTTAGGCCTTCGAAAGTGTGGGGACCGTAGCATATGCTACTTTTGCTATTAGGATAATCCAGCACCGGTGGTGAAGACGAAACCGCTTCTCAAAAGTGTGCAAAGAAGAATCGAGATAAAGCTCCGGCATGCAGAGAGACGGATGGAAGAACACGTTTATTAAACACGTGCAGGTATAAAAATTGACTGTGAAGGAAAAATAAGTGGACTCGAGCGGCACACGCGTCACCAGAAGTGATGACAGCTGGAAGGCAAGAAGAACTACCGAGCGGCAACCATTGGAGGGAAAGCACCCAAAAGTACATCCTCTGCGGAGATGGAGTGATTTGATTGGCTCATGGCAAGCCTTCACCCAGCAGTAGACCGAGCATGGCTGACAATGACGGCGTGATTACTAGGCTATATCAGGACGTTTCCAACGAAGTCTACCCACCAGGTGAGTGCTCCTTAATTTGCGCAGTGCTTTGAAACATCTGGTTATGAGCATTAGCGCCTCGTTAAATTAAAGCTGTTGATCTTGTTGTCAAACAGTGGACTGGAGCAACACCATCATCCTAAAGGGCATCCCTATGAGAAATTGGTCATGGGAACAGTAGTAACAGCAGCAGCTTTTGTCGGGCTTGCTCACCGTTGATTCGCCAACCATTATTTTCACAAATTTATTTTGGACTTGGCACAGGCACCTCCACCCTGACCCAGCCAAATGAAGTAATTTCTGCAATCAGCACCAATGCCTTGTATCCCAATTAACGGCAACCGCACCTCCTGACACACCCACCACCTGTCACCCCTCCCCCTTTATGGACTGGCAATGCAACTTGCAAATGTACCTGCTTGAGAAGCAGCAGCTGCTGCTGCTTGGCCACCTGCATCTGCTGCCGCCGCTCCTCGTCCGCCTCCTCCATCCCCTGCTGCTGCTGCTGCCCCACCTCCACCTCCCCATCCTCCTCCTGCTCCACGTCAACGGGCTCCTGTTTGACCACGACCTGACCCCCCGCGAAGTCCCCGGGGCGGCCGCCGTGGCCCCTCCCGATCCCGCCGCCGTCGCCCCGGCCGGCCCCACCGCTCTCCTCGTGCATGGCCGTGGGCTCGGTCTCCCTGGCCTGGGCCGTCTCGGTGGTGCCTCGGGGCGGGCTGCTGCACGGCACGCAGGCCTGCTGCTCGCCACCCTGGGGAACGGTTGGAAAGCGGCCGTTGAATTGTGGTTGCTGAAATTTGGTTAGCGGAAATGCGGTTGTGCGCATTGGGTCGTGGAAATGATGGAGAAATGCAATCAAGGAATGGCGTTGGGTAAATGCTGTTGTGGAAACGCAGGAAGAGCGAATGTCGGTGCAAGGGAATGTGGTCGTTCGGAATTGTGGTTGTACACATTTCGGTTGTACAAATGCCGTTCACAAAATGTGATTGTGGAGAACGGCGCTCGAAACAGCGATCATACGCTCCTTCCATTACGTTCGCAAGCACACAGCACCGTGTGTGAGCCCGCATAATGGAAGGCACGCTCTTGTTGATTAAGGGGGTGTATTAGATTATGGTGAGTAATTAGATATGGTTTGTAAGAGATGTTTGCGGTCGGCACCCATACCTATCGGAATTGTACTAAACCGCGTTGACATTTTGTTGAAAATATTACCCAACGCATAACCCAATTCTGCTTGTTGGTTGTAATGCAATTTACGTGGAAATACAGTGCAAATAACGATAATACGTGGCCAGGAGAAGCGGTAGGAAATTGCACATTTAAATAAACAGGTGCCCCTTAATGATACACATACACCATGCACAATGGCATTATAATGCTGTTTGTAGTTGGCTTCAAATAGAATTGTGGAATGTAATAATATTAATAATAATAAAAATCCATGCTGTTAAGGACTTGGAGAGGACAGCTAAGTTGTATCGTGATGGAGACATTTTCACTTGAATTACAATAAATTATCCCTTCCGAAATAAGTGGCAGAATCGTTTTCTACGTAAAGATATTTAATTTTCAAAAAGATTGTCGGTCATAAGCCTGAATATATAATACAAATACATATACAGAATATATAATACAAATGCAAAGTAAAAAATGCATCGGCAGCGGATATAATCATCAGCTTGTTTTTATATTAATAGTGTCACACAAAAACCCATTATATTCATACCAGGGGTTATTGCATTTTTCGGGTGGCATATTTTGCAACTATTCTGCAAGCGATTACGTGAAGGGCATTGTGCGAATGCATTGTGTCGTGTGTGCATATGCAATTTTGGTCAGCTAGCATGCATGACAAAGATGTGTCAACGTCGGTGATGTATTAACGAATGTGCAAAAGTGCCTAACGTATTCGGTCGATGCACATCATGCATGTGAGCTTTCGTGGGCATGTGAATTATCGTACATGCCTTGTGCGACTAATCAGCATTGGCAGTATAATGGGTGGCTAAACAGTTGTTTTTGTAGTCTCCTCTTGAGTAAAGAGACAGGAATTGTATGATTGTAAATAATGCTGTGCAGGTGATACGGAACTTTTAAATTGCTCGCAGCACAGATTTAATGCACGACAACAACCAAAAAGAAGATTACTTTACCATGACTGCTGTTATGAATCACTGAATGTGTAAATAAAGTGGGTGTGTATGCTACGTGCATTTACGTGTATGATCCACCATGTGTGTCCCTGCGAATGTCCATTATTGCACCTTGTGTTCATCACATAATAATATAAATATATAATTCTGGCCCGTGTCAATCTGCTGCTGGATGAAGACCTCCCCATGCCCTGTCAGTCACGGGGGTCGTTTGACCAAACTTCACCGCGGTGGGCAGTGCGCGCGGGTTCAGACATCACTCGCCACCGATGCTAGCCGTGGCCAGGAATCAAATTCAGGTCACAGGGTTCATGGCGCATTGTGTGACCTACGGTGCCACCGCTCGGCCCCGCCTGTGTGCGTGACGACAGATCTACACATATCTGTCTGTCCGATTTCACGACTGCTTTTGCCCAGCGAGCTGCGGCGATGATGCTGCTGCTGCTGCTGCCATAAATGTGACGATTGCTCTCCCCGCCATATCCAGTGAGGCTTAGCAGAACGGCTGGCAGCGGAATGCTTGCACAGCTGCAGGGGAAGTCACACCGGTGACCCCACGTGTTTACTCTGGGGCTGCTGGGAGAAGGCTCCCCTCCTGGGATGGGGTGGGGGGGCAGCCGGAGAGAGCATCCCCCACCAGAGTCGTGCTGAGCGCGAGCGTGAGGCTCATCCCTCGCCACCGTCTCGCACTCGCAACCTCGGTGTCTTAACGCCGTGCTTCCTCCCCAAGCTGTGTAAGCGCACTGGTGATATACATCAGGAATAGGATGATATTGACCCTGAATGGCCCGGAGAGAAGCCAGTGGTATAAAACACAAAGAAGTGGAATTGTTTGCCAGTAATCGAATGTCATTACAATGCATGCGTATGCAGTGGTGCAAAAAGTGATAGTTCGATGTATATACGTGTCTGTTTGCGTGCTTGTGAAATATTTGACATTTGTTTTATAGTGTCAACTATACTACAATATTGAGTGGACTACTTGTTAGGTATGAAGGTTTATAAGCATGTGTCTATGCATATTGAGTACTGTACTGAATGTACTAGGAGCAGTGGTATAATGGCTTTAATGTGCTATCATGCCAGCAGACCAGGTTTTAATTGTGGCAATTAGCTATACATCACTCGGTGCAATTGATATCTGGGCTGAGCTCACCCAAGGTGAATTCTGCCAGTGCTGATTGTTAAGCATTCCTATTAGACAAAGGTGGTAGTGGTGGCCATATTATATGTATCATATGCTTTGTCAACCTACATAGGTGATCGCTAACTGCGTTTGTATTTCTGGGACATAATTAGCTCTTAATCATGTATATAATGCTAGACATTTTTCAACCTAATACACTCAAGTAGACAAAAGTTCCCCCGTATAGTCTTAACAGACTGCTGGGGCAAGTGTACTCCCAAGGGGCGATGTTTACACGCCCCACCAGGTACTCATTTCAGGCTAAATCAACCTAGGGGCAGGCTCAGGATGGGTTCAGATAATCGTCACTGGTTTTGGCGATGAGCAGGAATCGAACTCGGGTCTCCGGGTTTGTAGCGCAGCAAACTAACCACTACACTACCGCTCCCCTACACTCTACTCAAGTCGAGCTCAGTGATACACAGACAATTCGGTATAAACAGAACAAGCCACTGATTAAGACCCAACCACAACAAGCTCTATTCCAGTGAGGCAGCAGGTGCATTAATTCTGCCACCATATAGAGTTTAACATCCCCAAGCAAAACATAGGGACAGAACATTTCTAATCAAGTCAAATCCAATAGTGCCTAGTTCCTTTTCATTCGTCAAATGGCCTTCCTAGTTCAGACCCGCAAATGTTTGGGATTTGCAGTTGCCCATTAAAAACGAAGGAGTTGTTCGTAATGAGCATTGGCTTGTCTGTGATGCAAGTGTGCCGCTGGTCAGTATCCACTGCACGGACGCAAGTGTGATTTATTTAACAGTTTAATCACGACCGACGTCACCGTGCGGTAGGATCAGCTGCAATTCTGAGTGGTTTAAATTTAAGACAACGATTTTAAAATGTTCCAGACCTCGCAGATTAAGTGATTAGGAAATATTCCGAATAGAAGGAGTCCAGAGCTTTTGCAGAAATCTGCAGGGCTAACGCACAACCGTGTACAACGTTGCCAATGCAATTGCATTGCTAATATACGCAAGATATTGTTTCTACGGTGAACTTTGAACCATGGTTACAGACACTGTCAAAATGATGACCGTTTACTAACTCAGGTTAGCTAATGTACATATAAAGGCTTGCACCAATGTGAACTTGGCTTTTCGTTTATGCCTTTTTCTGTTTGCTTTTCTGCACTGCCTCAATTTTTTTCTGTTAAATTGAAATTAAATCCTAATTATGTGATGACCACGAGTTAAAAAACAAATTAATCACTATTATTTTTGTCAGAAAGGCACCATTACTGCACCTGCAAGGCTCTCAGGAATCTCAACCAAAACAACGCGGAGCGGGAGCAACGTTAAAAGTTATGAGTCTCCCGTTGCAACGCTTCACTGTAACAAACGACATCCGCCAGCTCCGCTTCCATTTCCTGAGCTCCCTGGGCTGCGTCCACTCCCACACTCCACCCTGGTCGGACTTGCTCGCAGCCCAGAGCCCACAGACCCATGCACAGCGGGGCTTCTCAACAACCCACCCAGAGTGAGTAAAAAAAAGAAATCAGGTTAAGAACCAAGGCTAGAATGAATGGGATTTTTTTGGTTTAGATCATGTAAATATCAGAATCAGAATGTTTATTTAGACTGGAGGAATCCGATGAGCTATGAAGCTATTTTTTTCTTCACGGGTCTCCAGTAGATTCTGGCTTCAAGAGGTGATTTGCCAATTCTGAAGCCGGTTGTAATGACCAGCAAAACGTCGTACTTAAAATTGTAAATGTTGTGGATTTACTCTCCAACACATCGATGTGCTGAACTAATAACTGATTGGCACGTTTTGTTTCCGTGACAAACCAAACTAATTGACTGTTGGGTGGTGGTGGGTTAACGACACATTTACATTAACGCAATTTAACCCCCCAAAACACGTTTATTATGGATAACATTGCTCGTGAAATCCTAGTACGTGTTATACTAACCAAGTCTAGGGTTGAGGCTTCTGCCCCGAATGTGAAGTGAAGCAGCCTCAGGAGAATCTGCATGAGGAACTGCAACTGTACCAATCAGTGCGGCATTTGCGGCAGTAAAAAAACAATGCCATGCTGCGTTGCTCACTGTGCGATAATGGTGGCGAAGACACTGACTCACTGCTCTCACCTGCATCACGTAACTGTAGGCCCTGTTCTGCCAAAATGTCAAGTCCCACTGTTCCCGGAAATTAACATGACATGTAAGTTATGACCAAATAACAGTGGTTTAGGGAAAGGCAGGAGCAGAGGGAAATTATTAGTTTTTTTTACAGGGGAAAATGTCAGGTGGTGGTTAGTGGTAGTTCATGATCAGATAGATAACAAAGTAAAAAAAAGACCTCTAGTTCACGATTCAATCATGGTTAATGACAAGATATTCAATGAAATCTTCATCATCATCATAAACAGTCATAAACTACATATTGCTGGATGAAGGCCCTCCCCAAGCCATGATCTCTCACAGTTGCAAAACGACATCCTAAACATCAGCTGATTTCACTGCTCCGTCTGCATGATGGATGTGGAACTCACTCAGGTGCGTTCTGTCGTTCTGTCGAGCTCTCGCCATCATCTCTTAGAGCCATGACGGCTTTTGGATACCATTGGTACCTCATTTGCCAGTAAAAAATATGATAATTGCTTTTTTACCCTTTTATCTGGCAACAAAACTGACACCTTTTTTATCGAGGAGTCATGTTTGCATAGACCACAATACCTGCAGTCATAATGCAAACAAAAAACATAACTCTGCTTTTGGATAACCATCGAACAAAGACGGTCACCGCATCGCGCACTTTCCGATGGGCTTCTGCGCCCATTCCGGAATGCTCTTCCTTCCGGTATTAAGAGGACACTGGAGCTATGCACTTTTAAATCTAGATTGAAAACTAAGTTCTTGAGAGTAGTTTTTTTCTGTTTAGTTTGTTGTTCTTCCCCCGCACATCTGAATAGCACAGTTTGCTACGTATGGTGCGAAATAAGTAAAACAAACATAGATACATTCATATGTATGTTGAACATTCTGTACCCCATGCATGTATGCATGTTGAACATCAACCGTGCTAATCGGAACCCACTTGCTTTTTTCACCTTCATATCAATAGTCGGAGGCCTCTACCAAAATTATGCAACCAACTAGACTGCCTGCTCTTTGTTTCGTTAGACTATATGCCCAATATATACTTGTAAAGGTTATTTTTCTTCACATTCACCATGACCACCAGGTTCATTTCCGATGATTTATTGGACCTCAAGCTATGAGTATTTGTTTAAATAGGGAAACACTGGTGGCCACATTAAAATAGATTCCACTGCTAAGTAACGGGCTGTAAATCTACTTAACAGCATGCTTAATTCTCAAAGCTCCCCTGCCTGAGTTAGCTGCAGGTACGATTTTATTTCAAGGCTCTTTTCTCTCACCACAACCCTCCCCCTCCACCTCCTCCTCTCTCTCTCTTCCCCTTGCCCCAGGATCCCTGTTGGCTGGCCCTGCACCTCTCCCCCTGCTGCGCTGCGGACGGACACACATGGGCACGGTGCCAGACACATCTGGTGCTGTGATGTGTAATCAAGCCTTGATTTATTATTTCCGCCGCTGGTGCTAATTGCAATAAGCGGCCACACGGATACATTTCAGCTTCGTGTCTTTGATGCGAGCAGATGCAGTCTCGATAGGTAGTTTGTAATGACAGCACCGAGGGCTAATTAGGGTTGCGAGATTCATAATGTTGACCGGATATTTTAGATAACGACATTAAAAAAGAAGAAACAAAGCGATTAACTGTGTTGTAAAAATGATATCGTGTCACGCTGACGCAAATTTCACGTGTAAAGAAAGAGCGCATCAACGTATTTAAATGGGGACGTGTGGAGGGTGTTGAAGGCACGGGAGAGAACGCACGAGGAGGAAGGACGCAGTCCCCGTGCGCGCGTGAAAATTGTACCGCCTCGCAGCCACCCGTTAGTGCAATCCCTGCCGCCGTCTGCATGTGGCATCGCACGCCAATTAGAATGCCACCACTGACGCCGATGGAAGTCCATTGGCGTTGTCGGGTGACGCTTGGAGCCTGGGAACAAGCTTTTAAAGTTCCACCTCCCTCCCACCACCCCCCAGAATTTCGGTGATCGTGCCAGCATTGAAGAGAAACAACAGCAGTGTGCACACCCTTCTGGACATCTGTGAAGAAAGAGCTTCATAGCTCATCGGAATTATCCAGTATGAATACATAATATGCCTATAAATTGAATACTGCCTCGATGTGGATGTGCTGGGGAAAAAAAACAACACTTTTGGAAATATGGACACATATACTGCAAATGTTCATTCCCGGTTTGAAAAAATTAATTACAGTTTATGTCTGTGCAAAGGTTGTAGAATAATTTACTATTTTTTAATCACTAAAGCACATGAATGTAAGCAGTGAAGGGCAGTGCGATACACTTCATTGTTACACTGTACGATGCTCCAATATCTATGCTGCCCGCATTCACCAATTCACACCTACTAGCTTGGTGAACTATGGTAAAAAAAACCCTAATGACCCACATGGCGTTGCAAGGCCCTCATCCAGTCGTGGGTTTTAAAAAGCGATATACTGTACATGAATAAGAACAAAAATGTCGTTTCTTTTCCTTTAAGTTGGTACATCTTGTAAAATAATCTGCACATATAAGTAGCGTGTAAAAAAATGTCATGGCATAACTTCAGTCATGAGCAGCAGAGGGTTCAAATTAATATTCGATGCTAACAACTTCGTATAAATCCGTTTCCATAAAACCACATGGTGCTCGAGGGCCAATCCAAAACTACCGCCCAGACATTAAATGCACCGATTCTCCACCTGAGTGCTTAATCCTCATTGTCTATATCTTTTCTAGCACACTAACCCCCTCCCTGCCCAGTCGCCTCATTATTCTTTGAAGTTTAAACATATTCTTGCACAAGGTAAGCTGTACATGTGCCACGATCTGACTCTTGACAAAGCTTAAAGCCTTCGTTGAATACAGCAAATATGTTTATTTTTTCATTTTCCATTCATACCTGTTATTATTAGTATGGCCCCGAAATAATAATAACTGTGTAAAAAAAGTATTGGTAAGCTAAATTGCAAAAACAACCATAAGTGTGTTATTTTGGCCATAATCCGGCAGTGATCTGGTCAGGTGGTGTTGTGGCAGAGTGCTCAACTCACGAGAGGAAGGCTGGGAGTTCAAACCCAGCAGGCAATCATACCCCAGGGGGTCAATAAAATAAATACCACTTCGTGTGAATTCAGCAGTGGCTGCCCTAAATCAGAATTAGCTCCCGCCAAAGAAAGGTGGAATTTAAACTAATATCCCAAGGCTGCCAATGGAGAATGAGCGGAGATACGCTGGCCAGGAGTACGAGCCACATGCTACTTTTTAACATATTTTTATGACATCAAAATCATAACATTTATTTACTCAGTAAAGTGTCACTGAGTTTTTCAGTTATGTCCTGATACGTTTTCAGTAACGGGGCAATGCCACTATTTGTTTTCCCAAATGACAAATTGTGTGGACAATTTGTTAAAGAGACCTACTCTTTTTAAACTAACGTTGCAAGATGTTCGAAGTATACTGTGAACTGGACGGTATTGACCACAGAGGCCATGGGGCTTAAAAAGGAAACTCTGTAACAAGCAAAAATTACGAGTCTAACAGGTAGGCTTTTGTGACCAATATAATTCACAATCCAGGTTTTTTTTGGGGTTAGATCGCGCAAATATAAATGCGTCGTTAACCCACCACCACCCGACACAGCCAATTCGTAAAGATTTGTCACGTCAACAAAACGTGCCAATTAGTTACTACTTCAGCACACCGGTGTGTTGGAGAGTAAACCCCACAACGTGAACAATTTGGGTGCGGCGTTTCGCAGGCTGTTGCTTGGCCACGTCACTTGTGGGGCCGTGCGCCTCTTGCCTTGCCAAGCTGCTGCTTGTGGCGTTCCAGGAACTGCTGGTGCTGCTGCTGCAGGACCAGCTGCTGCAGGGCCTGAGGGCACGTGGGCAGCGGCGCCGAGTGAGTGCGGCTCAGGCTGCGGTGCCGCGGCAGCCGGGCACGCTCTGCGGTTCACGGGGGGCGGCGGTGAGGATCGGTTGGGGAAAAAGGAGCGAGAGAAACGGGTTGTAAGCCAAGTGCAGCGGGCGGCAGGGGAGGGGGGAGTCAAGTGAAAGGTGGAGAGCGGGTGGGAGGGTGTGGGACGGCAGATGGGTGGGTAACAGCCAGAGTGGTGGCAACACAGAAAGATGGGAGGGTGGCATTGGAGATGAATGGTCGAGGAATTTAATGAAAATAAGCAGAGTGCACATGTATTTTTTACTTCTTTCGCACCGTGCGTAACCCACCGTGCTAATCGGAGGTGCGGGAGAAGGCCGACAAACTAAACACAAAAAGCAGTTCTTCAACAAATTAGTTTTCAATCGAGGTGTACAAGTGCGTTTCCAGACGGCTGCAGAGGTGCGTTTAATAAGGTGCCACGACGCGGTGACCGTCTCCGTTTCGATCGTGCAGCCAAACAGCGGTCGCGATGGGTTTGCGCGGATTCACAGAAGATGTGGAAAGTGGACGGAGCGGGAGTAAGAAGGGCACCGAGGGAGAGAGCGCCACAGTTGGATAAGGCGGAATGCGCACAAAGAGGGGTCAAGTGGCTGTTTTAGTTATTATTATTTTTTGAGACGTAGTCGGAAACAGACGTCATGCTCCCAGCAGCAGCTGCTGCATAGAGGAATATAAATGGTCACAAAAGACGTAACATGTTTTAAAAGAATTAAATACATCCTCTCAAATAAAAAAAAGTCCTCTAGCAGTATAAACACCAGTCCCCCCATTGTACAAGATGCTGCAGCTAACGGGGATATACAGTTAGCCCTGCCTTATCTGTTGTATTTACCCATAGAATCCTGTCTTATAATGCTATGACATGATGCACGTTGTATGATTGAACCACTCATCAGAACAAAATTGCAGATTGAAAAAGTAAATTTTTGGCAGGACGGTTAGAAAAAAACACGCTTCCCATGTTTACCACAAACATCCATACATGTGTGTATATGGGCACGGGTGTAGATGTGCGTTCATATCCAACAAGACTTGGTCAGAATATACGGTACGCACATAATCACGGAAACTAATAGGCTTAGACGTCAGTGCACACGCGGGAGATAAAGTGACCGCACCTGTGTGTTTTGGGTGCGGAGGGCGGGCCTGCTCACTTCTGCAGGCGTGCCGACGACTGCAACAGGTTCGGCTGACTGCAGCTCTGGCTGAGGCTGACGCCTTGCCCCTGCGCCTGGCCCTGCCCTGGATGCTGCCCTTCTCCATTGGCAGCACGAGCGGCCAGGTAGAGGGGCAGCGGCGGGAGAAACTGCCCCGGCATTGCCACTCGCTCTGCCTGCTGTTGCTTGGCAGAAAGTGCCATCGTTGCCTGTCGAGGTCACATGCAACAACACAAAGACAAAGATCCCCCCCCCCCGTGTAGCCTTAACAGACCGTTGGGGCAAGTGTTGTCAGCGAGTAGCACCTGTGAAGGTCGGAACTGCACACGAGAGGGTGGGTGGTCAGCACCACGCCCGACCGCCTTTGTCTCCCCAGTGGCGATGTTTGCACATCGCACCAGGTACTCATTTGAGGCTGAGTCGACCTAGGGGAGGCCCAGGACCGATTCAGGTAACCGTCACTGGTGTTGGCTGTGAGCGGGAATCAAACTCGGGTCGCCGGGTTCGTAGAGCAGCGCGCTAACTATTGCAATACCGAGGTCGCATGCACACGCACACACACGTGTGCTCTTTGAGTATTATATCTTCATCGTTAGCCATGGTCAATCAATTTCTGGATGAAAGCCTCTGCAATCTGTAACCATCTTTCACGATCCTGCGATATATTGAATCCATCTAGCGCCGACAGCTATACATGCTATACACAGATTATTAGACACAGACTACTCTGCAGATGCACATTTAATTCATGTTTTTAGGCTCACCTTCAATGGAAGGTGATAAACTGTTCTCTCTGTGTTACAATTACAGGGGACACTCAACAGGACACATTCTTTTCCAATTCGTGGCATTACCAAGTGCTCGCTTTTATTTTGTTGCGTACTTCCAGGCCTCTATTGATTTTCACATTCATCTCCTCAATTAAAAGCACACTGTCACTTTGTTGCGATCGAAACGTCGTGGGTTTTTTACCTTTATTATATTCAATTAATTTTTATTTAAAATTTTATTTGACTGTTTTTATTTCTTATTTTTATTCAAGTTATTATTTTATTTTTATTTGTAATGTTATTTTATTATTTTTATTCAATTGATTATTTTATTTTTATTTACAATTTTTATTTATTATTCTTTTTTATAATTTATAATTTTGTAAAAAAAAATCTATTTACATGACTTTACCGAAAGAACCAAGAACATGAATTCCTGCAGCCACGAAAGTTTTAAGTCATACCATTAAATGTAAGTTATTTTTGTGAATCAGTTAAATAAAAAAACATCTAATATGCATAAGAATAAAACATTAAAACAGTGAAACTGGCAATGGTGCCTGCATCGTAAACCAACCTTAAGATGCCCAAGGTAACGTTGTTTTTGCTATGAGACGTTCTAAGAGCCAATTGGAATGCATAACGCAAGAAAGCACCTGTAAGCGTCAAGCTGGATACCGTCTGTGCGAGCTGTGCAGAGCGTAGCTGAGTATTTAATTACCACAGTGGGGGGGAGGGTAGGGGGGGTTAACATGCAATGCGTGGCTAATGGAATGCACAGACAGCATCCCTCCTGAAGCATATCCCACCTGTGTACATGTGCCGCTTGAATCCGAAGGGGCAAAGAGAGGTGTAGGGAAAAAAAAAAGATCGTGCATAACTCACCGTCAGCTGAGAGTTGTGAGCGGTCATAGAAAGGGGCAGGCCCAGTGAGATGTTGGGCAGCGAGGGAGAAGTGTAGAGGCTCAGGGGACATGCTACTCCTTCAGGTGCCATTGCTTGACGCTGGGTTAAGGCGTGCTGAGGAGAAATAATAGCATCAAATATAAATAATAACATCAAATTATAAATGATGACATCAAATAGAAATCTGAAATAAACGTACACATGTGTATCATCAAACAAATCATCAAACAACAAGCATCGTTTGCGACCAAGTGGCAGTGAGTTCACCAAAGCACTTATGCTAGGTTATGTGCACTTGGAGGTGATATGAAGTAACAACTGGCAGGAGTTTATAGGCTTAACTTTAGTGTTTAGGATAAATGACTGAGGGACTGGAAGATGTGCCACCAGCACTCCTCACGGTGTCAACCAGCTTTATTTTAGCCAACAAATGCTCTCCTATTAGAGTCGTTGTGACACCACTACCTCTCATTGTTGCTGCCGGCAAATGCATTTAACTGCCCAGTTGCGTCTTTCAAAAGCCCCATTTCTATATTGGATAATGCCATTCCCAACACCCACTGATATATAAAGAATATGAAATACATTACTTCATGAGAGGAATACATAGGCACTTTCTGGGCTGATACAATATACATATTCATAAAGTGTGGTCAAGCATCACACTTCATGAAGACAAGAGGTACAATTTGTCTTTCTTGCTCCTTATCATGGCAGCCACAATTAGAGCTGTAATACAAATTATTTTTTTCCTCATAGTTTTTGTCGACAGGTCAGAATTATATATGTGAAAAAAGTAAATTGTCAAATTTGTCACAGTGCATGTAAAAGTTTAGAATAGTTGCCCAGAAGGAAATTGCCAATTTTTTACTTCCCCCCCCCCCTCCCCCGTGGTACAGGGTGAGCACGCTCATCATGTGCCATGTCAAAACTCCACATTAGTTTAAAAGTTTTCGCATACTGTTCAATGAAGAGCCATATGTTTTAACAACATGGAAATGTAACCGTCCTCTCTGTCTATTGGTAACTCGTTATGTAATATGCTCCGCAGGTGCAATGACTTACAAAGTGGGATTATGCAATCTTTTACAGCATGTCCCTTGAAATGGTGTAAATGCAAACAAAATATTCCATAAATTTTGTAAGGATCTTTGTTAATTATTATTTTTTAAAATCTGAAATAAAGAAAATGCAATGTCAAAAAATCTGTAAATTGGGGGGGGAGGAAGTTACACCAAATGTTTTAGTTGCCCTTTTTATTAATTGCTGCAGAAAATGTATACCAGTACCGACATGTATCTGCAGTGGTGGGTATACATCCTCACTCTTATGTTATTACTGTGCTTTGCAAGTTAGCACGGTAATAACAGTGCATAATTGTAGCCGACACTGCAATTGGAAGCTTTCACATCTAACACTGTGGCCGAAACGTCGTGAGAATTGTATTTTATTGTATTTAATTTTTATATATGTGTAGTGAGTCACTTCAGAGACACTAATAGTAGGAGGCATACACGTTTATTCTACACTTTCCACAGTATAGGGTATAACTATATACGGGTCAGGACAGCCGGCACACTGCCTGACCCAACACCGACGAGGAGTTGATGACGGGGACGAAGACTTGTGAGGACAACGGGTTCCATTCCCAAACCGCAGCATCGGGGCCTACCTTTTATCCTCCCCACCGCCCTCGGCCACGCCCCCTTCTGGAACCTACCAGAAGGATTTGGGCTCTGCCCCACGGAGGACGCTAGGGTAGTGGGGAATATTCTCTGTCTACCCGCTACCCTAGCGTCCTCCGGCTGGGACCTAGGGGAGGCTAGCTTGACCCACCGCTGGCTCGGTGGGTCCCCTGACCACTGGCCGCGCAGAGCCTTAGCTCTTAGAAGAGCTGCAAGGCTGGGGAGCCAGGGTCCTGCCTGCCAGGACCTATTCTCCCCTTGACCACTGGTAACACTGAGCCTCAGCTCTTAGAAGAGCTGGAAGGCTTGGTCCAGGGTCCTAGCCATCTTGAGCTGGCTTGAGTCTTCGTCTGAGGAGAACTGGCGGGCGCTCCCCGCGCTCGCCCTTTTATACCCGTTTGTAACGGTCCTTATCCAATCCCATGCTCCCTCGTGGGACCCTCTGATTGGTTGTCTCGAATCTGTGTTTTCGACCCACTTTTACCGTAACTGACCCTTGGCCGTTGGTCTGGCGGGAAAGTGTGTTTACGATCCGCTCCTTTCCCTGACCCCTGCCGTTGGTCCGAGAGCGGTAACTCTGCATTGCCCCTCTAATACATAGTGGTCCCGCAGGTTACCGAAAATAGTGTGTCTAGCACCTCTACACATGCATAAAGACGTGACACCTAAAAATGTTGTAAAAATGTGATAGAAATACTGTATAATGTCATCACAATTAGTAACTGAAGTGTGGGTATATGTAATAAAAAATATGTTTTTTTATCATAAGAAAACATGTCAGAGTGACATACAAAAGTGTTTTTGTAAAATCTAGTGAATCCTGTATTCACAAATACGATCTTTGTAATCAGCGTTTTTAATTAAAAAAAACCTCTTCATCTGACCAGTGGAAACACCTGAGAACAAGTACATTATTCCAACTATGATGGACACGGTTGAATGATTTTCTGCCACTGCCCTGCATCAAATTTGTTTTGTTTATGCGATTAAATATTCACGTTGAAAAGTCCGACTCCAGCACGCAAGGCTTTTGTAGCAAACACAGGCTCGGCTAAATTTAGCGGCATGACTCATGCGTAGCCAATGCAGGTGACATTTTCAGCCGCAAAAGAGACAGCTTGAAATTACTTTTTGGTCATATGACTATATTTTAGACCCATCTAAATATAACAGTGATTACACACGTATGTTTTACTCCGCACATTATCATCATAGCCAATGATGGGTTTTAAAAAAACAATTACAGATTGCAAGAATGCATGCAAATCTTGCCGAAATATTGTATGAAATTAATCAATTGCCAATGAACGACAATTGATGTCTTGATATTTGTAAACACATATAGATGTTTCCTGCGACACATGTTAACAGGAATACTTGGATCGCTGTCCTCGGTAACGTGGTCATGTCATATTTAGCTCTGAAGCAGTGCTTAATAACCTAAAAAACCTTGCAAGTGACCAATGCAATTTGTGATGGCTTCTGCCAATTCTTCTAAATGAGGGGAATTCAAGGAATACAAGATTTACTTCATATTTAGACCGGACATAGGAATATGAATTTCCACGTGATACAAACGCATAGAAAAATAAAACATTACCTTCCTCTTATAATTCTAAACACATGGCATAAACTCTTTGCTTTCAAGAAATGCACAGTTATGTGCCTTGGTCAAAATGTTTTGATTATTATTAAATGAGGTTAAGGTCAGTTTTGAAAAAGAACGACGAAAATCCGGCAACGACCATTCTGACATCAGGCCGATCTCAAAGAAGGATCTTTCTTCACTTGTGATGCATTACAATTAGGACATGATAAATGACTTGACGCATTCTCAATTATGAATGTAAACAATAAATGTGTACAAAGTAAATGCACAGCCCTTTTCTCAATCCACTGACTGGATGAGGGGCCACCATCGCTGTGCGGGTTAAGGACATTTTCTGTCCATACTTCACCACGCTGGTGAGTGCAGTTTGGTAAAGGCGGGGGAACAGAGACGGGGGGGTAAGCAAAGAAGTACACTACAACAATGGATTTTGCTGCGCTGCCCTCTACTGCCCACGATGTAGCTCAGGCGTCATCTGAGCTCAAACCCTGTTTGAATTCAAACACGTGATTGGGCCCGAGGTAAATGTATAAAGATGTATTCTCAGACTTCACTGCAGTTGAAGGGAAATTAAATGTTTTGTATATACTGTAGTGTACACAGTACACAAACTATACGCACGATTTAAAAGCCAATATTGCCACATTTACCTGTAAACCCAAACAAATGTAGCTTTGATTAATACTTATAAACCCAACTGTAAAGATCTAATCAGTATATATATTAAAAAAAAACATTATTTAACTTCAATTTATGTCAAAATATATGAATGAAAATAAAAGCACACGTTATATAAAGCACACGAGGCACAGCAAACAGCACTTATTTAAATTAAATTAACATATAATAAATGTTACAGCAACACAAAGATGACATTATTCACCAAGTCCTACAGGTTTCTTTAAGTAATTTGTTTCTGTGGAGCGCTAACAAATGTTAACAATGTTTTTTTTTAAGTTGGCTTTGCTCCTAAAACTAAATTCGAACATGTGATGTGATGAAGGTCGAATGCAATGTCGTCTACTGCACCCGTTGCTGCACGACTCATGACATAACGTCCAACCCGGTGGATTACGACAAGGCAGTGCAGTTACAAGGAAATGAACGTGAATGCTGTGATAAATGTAAATGGTCAAGCGGTTGGGCGTTCGCTGCTTGTCACAGAGGTTCACTGCGTTGGAATCCGGTGGGCCACCCTGGTTAATAACTGCAGGCGTACCGAACACAGAATGAGCGTCGTCTAGTTCGCGGCGAACGTTAAAGATCCCGTGACGTGATTTGAAAAGAGCAGGCCATTGTGTGTGCCGGCGTCATCGTCCAAATGAGAAAAAATTTTTACCTGCAAATCAGTGAAGGGGGGGATTCCATATCTATATAATGAGTCAAGTGGGATTCCATATGCATATAATTAGTCAAGTGGGATTCCACATCCCAACGTCGCCTCCTACCACCGATTAAACTACTGCAGACTGTGTCTGTGAAGCATATCGCCTCTGTGATAGCGTTGTGCTGTAAGATTGGCGTGAAAACAAAAAAATACGCACAATTCTTCCTCTGTTCGTCAGATATGACGAATATATCCAGGGTTAATGTTTTGCCGCTGTCAAATGATGGTCCCATAGATTGCTCTAACCCATAGAAAACTCCGGTTGAGCAGTTTTTTTGCAGTTATATCGATGGGACAATTTGATGTTCCCGTTGCGATGCTTGAAGGCAATGCACAGATCAAAGCAGTTAGCGTCCTTTGGTCTAACACTGGTTAGACAAGGCTATAAAGGAGGTTGTCTCTGGTGTAGGCCAATCAGTTTCAAGGACATGCATGTTTGACCACAATCATGTGTGGTAAATGCTGATTTTGATGCCTTGGAATAGATGTCTATGTGGTGTTTGAACATCTTAACACCTGTGTTATTGCTGGAATGGTTAACGCCTATTATTTTTTCATGAGTTATGAAGAGAACTAAGAAATCAAACGGCAACATAATGAAATCGAAATTAAGGCAGAAAAGTGATGATGATAATGGCAGAGGATGCCAGGCATTAGAACACGATTAGGCGAGGTAAAACGGGAACATGGAAAGAAGCAAGATTGGTTATCATCCAGCAGTGGACATTCAACGGCTAAAGAAGATTTACAGATTATCTTATCGTTGCCTTGAGTTTGGATGAGCGAGGTGCCATTTGTACAAGTTTGTTTTGACGAAAGCGCTGAGATAATTATAGTCGAGTCCCGTTTAAATTTAGTGGAACAGGCCATGCGCTTTTATAAAAAGCACGCTGAAACTTGGGACGATGCTATTTGCAAGTGTCCTCTGACACAGAGACCATCCTGGGCATCTAAGGAGTTGACACGCGGCACTCTGGATTGCACAACATTTATCAGTCCTGTCGCGCAAGCATTGCAATGTCCCATATCACTTCCGAGAACGTGACATGCAAGAAGCCATTGCTGCCAGAAGCGGTGTTCAAAATTGATTTTTTTTCTTAAAATTTCCTTTCCCACGAGGCACAACACTGGGTGCAACAGTAATGCAAATTGAGGCTCATCAATATTAAACGTTATGATCACGCAGACAACAGTACAGATGATCTGCCCCCATTGCTATATTTTCCACACGATGGAGAATCAAATCTGTGGCAACTAACAACGATAATTTCCATTCTACACAAAGCGGTTGCTAAATGTACTTAGGTAAAGCATTGCAATTTGTCTCTAAACATGAATGCATTTAAAAGTTTTTTTTTTAAACAACAGCTGTGGATAGTGGTGCTTAATCCTCTGTGCAGTTTAGTCCAATAGTCACTGCCAACTGCTGATGCACATGACGATATCACTAAAGAGTGAAGGAGAGCTTTAGTCTCCAAGCCTCCAGGGTTCGTGATGAGCAGAGACAGTCCTCCGGCATGGACTCAGTTCATTTATTTAGCCAGGATGAGCTGCCTTCCTCGAAGATCAATTAACGAATTAAAACAGTGCACAGAGTGTATTTGCTAATGACTGCCACGTCGACGACGGAGCTTTGTCACCTTGAGTGTGAGGAACTGCAGCCCGTGGCGGGGGAAATATCGCACGGGTAATGGAGTCACATGGCTTTCAGCGCAATTCCAATTCAGAGTCGGTACAACGTGGTCATTAACGTAACAGCGTATTAACCCTGTTCCTCTCTGAACCACTGCTATGCTGTGCCTGTGCCCATACACCCCTGCACCCCCCCCCCTCCCCGCGTAAAATGATTTAATTCTGCCTCTGCATTAAAATGTTGCATTTACATTCCTGAATGAAGGTCAAAAATAGAAATAACCACCAACAATTGGGGACTTGTTTACAGAGGCATTGACTTTTTAAACTCAAAGTTAAACAGAAGTTGTGATACTGTGTTGGCAGTGGTGCACAAGAACAAATAGCCAAAATTCAATACATTATCCAACAAGACTGGCCAAAAAATATATATACACAGTGATACAATATACAACAGGTGGCATTTCAGGCAATGTCCCTTTTTTCTCCTGTGAAGAACCATTTCCTGAAAGGTCGCCAATAAATATTTGTTTTCCTTTTCTTCTTGATGAATGTGTTTTTTCTTAGTTTTTAACTCGGCTTATCATATATCATAAACAAAGACAAAGATTCCCCGTATAGCCTGAACACTGTTGGGGCAAGTGCAGTTAGCAAGCACCTATGGAGGCCGGCACGGCACATGAGGGAGTGGGTGGCCAACACCACGCCCGGCCGACTTTGTCTCCTCATTGGTGATGTTTACAGACCAGGCTGAGTCGATCTAGGAGAGGTCCAGGACCGGTTCAGATAATCGTCACCGGTGTTGGCCGTGAGCGAGAATCGAACCTCGGTCGCCAGGTTCGTAGCACAGCACGCTAACCGCTGCACTACCGCTCCCCATATCATAAACACCCCCCACACACATTCTCTGTGCCATAGCGTGCGTGGGGAGTTCTGTGAGTCGGTGACACCGTCACCGATCGGCTTGCTTGCCCCTGTGAGGTGCGCACCACAACAGCGGTGTGAGAGAGCGACATACCTCTGGCTGGGAGGGCAGGTGGGGCCCTGCTGTTCCGTTCTCGGTGGCGATGGCGCCGCCCGTTCTGTTGCCAGGGGAGCTGGGACTTGAGCCGGGCGCACTGCCGCTCAGCGGGGATTCTACGAGATTCGCGCAGATACAGCGACGCACGTCAAGATCAATTAACTCAGCTGGCAAGCACGAGCCTCCCCGGCACCTGTAGCTGCAGCATGCGGCCTCTGGTCCATTCCCATATTGATTCAGAATTTTAAAAATCACAGAAACATTTATTTATATAGAGAGTGGTGATTCATTTATAGACAATTCCGCAAAAATTATAGGGAGAAATTGGAGAGGACACAAGATTTTTATTTCAAAGCCTCGACATGCCCACCCACCAATTTCAACACACGTATTACATATTTAAACACTTTCCCTCTCTCTGTCTGTAAGATCTGGAGCCATCACTTTCTCAAAATGTCAATCATCTGTGGAGAAGAAAGAGGAAAGTAAAAGGGTTATTAGAAGTATCTATCAGTGTCAGTAGAGCATCTATAAATGGATCACCATCTATGAAATGTAATCAAACTAAGGCTGTCATAAGTTCCAATACAGTTTCTGAGACAAGCTTGGCCCATCATCCCCTCAGGGACATTTTTTAAACCACTTTGTGGGAATTCAACAGTGGTCGTTCCAAATTGGCCACCACCATGGAAATGTGGGATTTTCACCATGACCCTTGGGACTTAACAAATTAACTACTTAACACGTAGTAAGCTTTCACGACCAATATCATCCATAACAGAGGTTTTTTTTGGGGTCAGATCGCGTAAATATATAAATGTGTCGTTAAAACCCGTCACCACTCAACACAGCCAATTAGTGTGGTTTGCACTTAAACAGAACGTGCCAATTCGTCACTAGTACAGCAAAACTTTCCTCCCGCCCAACAAATCAGCTATTACAGAATAAAAAAAAAATTCCACCTATTAAACACTTTTCTCAAAAATATTTCACGTGCTAATATGTTCGCATGTCGAACCACTTTTTGCACCGTACGTAGCCAACCGTGCCACGTTGCAACGAGCAAACTTGCAACAGCAAAGACTTTCCAACGGATCACACAGAACCGTGCTTTGGTGAATGAGCCTAATTCATCAGGTGACAGAGTGTGCGTCAGAAGCCGGATAACGATTAGACCGGTTAATAATGGAGTTAGGCCAATTACCCGCCATCTCCAGTGGCCTCTTCTTAGCAGCTACGGCAGCAGACACGGGCCCCTTCCGGCGCAACAGTGGGCTGCTCCTCCGCTCCGCCACCTTCTGTTTAAGCCGCGAGCGCAGTTTGAGGTTTGGCTCCGACGCTGTGGGAAGCGGGAACAAATCAAAACACTCGCTCGCTCTGCCACTTTTGTCAAAGAGCAGGGACCGCTCGCAGCGCTAATTCTGCAACAATTTAACGAAAAATTATATTGAGAACAGCTCTATCCGGTGCGCCGCAGATACGCGACAGCTGCAGCGCAATGCTAAAGGACATCGCTGAAATACACCGTAGATTTTAAAGAGAGGCTTATAAGAGGAAAGGGCTTCCGACCTGATAATACTGACTCGTTGCTTGAAAGGCAAAGTATTTCACTGTGTTTGCAATAAAGCAATGAAAAAAAAACTTGGGACTTTAGCATCAGCTGCCACCAGGCTAGCACTGCTGTTGTGCATATCATGTTGCTTCTGCAGGAGCTCAAATGAAGTTGACACCAGAGATGAGCTTCCCTTATTAGCTACTGGCAGTCCTGTGCTGTACCTGTCAGAGCCCCCAGAGATATGGCACACGAGTTGTTAATCATGAATGAGGTGGCCAGGTGAGCCAACCTATGAAAAAAAGCGCGCTTACGGAACACTTTATTGTTGGTGAAAAAAATTCACTGCAACAATATGGAAAGGTTAATTCAATGCCATCAAGACAATAAAATGCCTTAAAAGGGAAATACATCTCTGAGTAGCTGCAAGTGATTTTGCCCTTCCAGCACCCGTCATTAGACTCACAAATGAATCCAATTGTTGTCAGCGCCGCAGATTAAATCTATTTTTGGAAGACACGAGCATCAGCCTTCTTTATGGAGGAGGATGCAATTGAAAATGCCAGCTTTCTCAGCAAATGGGCTGCTCGATACGCATAGAGATCCTCGTGGTGCTGGGCCTCTATCACACTTCAATGACTCTCCATCACCGCCGCCCCCTTCCATCTCTCCCAAGGACATACATGTTGGATTACGCCACTCAGTGCTGCAATTAATTTAAATTGGCCTTTCCGAGGCAAGAGATAAAGGGAGCCTTCTTGCTTTAATTAACTGAGCCACACAACACTCCCACAGACTGGTCACGAGATATCCAGTTGCAAAACTCATTTCAATGCCCTCGGTGCCTGCAGATTGCAAATTTAAAGGTTCGTAGTGTCAGACTTGTCTATTTTGTACATATGCTTCTGTTCAATCAACGGTAATCTTTTTGTTATGGAAGCACACATTTCCTTGATAAAGGCTACAACTTAACAAATGTTATCATCATTGTCATCACTTGAGTTAGTTTGGCAATTGAAGGCCTCTCTGAGTTGAAAAAAATATCCTATAATACTAAGTAATGATACATACGTATTATCATCATTATATTTATTTAACATCATCAGCCATTGTCTATCTGCACACCACGTGATCCTATGTATGTATGAATGTATTTTGAACTTCTTTTGCACCTGTAAGTAGCCTAACCGTGTTCATAGCAGAAGCAGGGGAAGGACATCAAACTAAACACTAAACACAGTTCCAAAGAAAAGAGTTTTCAATCTAGATTTAAAAGTGCATTACTTCAGTTGCTTTCTAATATCGGACGGAAGAGCGTTCCAGACGGCCGCAGAAGCGCGTCTGAAAGCGCGCGATTCGATGACCATCTTTGTTCGACTGCTAGCCAAAGCAGCTGAGAGGGGCGACCGGAGTTTACGTGAGAGCACAATGATCTCACTCCTGCGCATCGGTTGATCTCATTGTTCCATCCATACTGTTGCCGTCGTCTTATTGGGCACTTTTCTCTCCGTTGGCTGCCAATCTGTCCTTGGTCTTGTCCATCGGCATCATCCCTTTAAGCAATGTATCCTGCACAAGTACACTTACTCTCCTCTACAATCAGCGATCCGCGAGTTTACTCTGTGTGTCTCTCGGTTGTCAGTGCAAGCATACATCTTTTCACATGCTTCTTTTGCACATTTTCATATACGGTCAGTTGTATTTGTCAGTGCCCATTTTTCTAATCACATGTAATAAACACTGATTAAAAACGTGATATCTCTCAGCAGACTATTATGTTGCTTTTCAGGATCAAATTCAGCTTTCAAAAAGCACTCCAAACTACTCTTTTCTTATCTGTTTATTAGATGTTGATTATGATGTCTATGATAACTGCCCTTAGCGTCCAAAACTAAAAAAAATTCAGTGGTGCCCTTCCAACTATTATTCAACAGTTGATTGACAAAAGGTTGTAAAGTGATTGACATGCGTTACTTATTTTATCACAATCTCGTGTGTCTCCTTCCCTTTGGAATAGATGTTGTATTATAGCCATTTCCTCATCAGAAACAGTGTCAAGGCCAAAATTAAGCCTATGACTGAACTGAATGTTACGGAAATGTATACACTGTTCCTTCAAATACAAGATACTTTAATATACCCAGCAGTATTTTTACATTTAAATCACCTGCTTTTAATGACTGTAACTAGCAAATGGTTATTTCAATAACCATTCTAATAATATGAACGATTGCGCATACGCCTAAATATTACCGTTTAACTCCAGAAATTACACTGGGGCTGTGAATATTTGTTGCATTTCATGGCACACAGAAAATGCGTGACCTTGCTATTTTCTCCATGAACATCATCTCTGAACTTGTCCTGCCCTGTCAAGCATAGGCATATGAAGGCTGGCAGCCTTATGTAACATGCCACAGGGGGACGTGGTTAAACGGAGCTGCCGTTATGTAACCAGGGTCCACACAATGTTCCTGCCATCTCTCACAAGCACATCCTGCAATTACTGAAATGTATCAAAGCTCAATAAAGTTATTGTTTGCAGAAAAAAAAAATGCCCCTCCTATTAACATGCAATTAAATATTGATAAACTCCGTGCAATGTATTATTTACGTTTGTGAGAGCTAAATAACTGTATTCACAAAGGATCTCTTCACAGTTGATGTGACTTCATACGTGGCACGTTTGCTGATGCGCATTGCGCAATCTATACGAGCACGGTTTGGTTGTCACATTTTGCAGAATAATCTTTGTGAAAAGGCTTTTGCTCTGTTGAAGTAGACACTTCAAAAGGCATGCTCAGAGCCTTCTGTCAAAGATAATTTGTGAACCGTTTTTTCCCCCCATTTGGCTATTGTGTAACCTTATATCCACAAAAATATATATAAGGTAGAAGTGCCCATATATAAGTGACTTTGGATAGTTTCCATTTGGGCATCAAGGAGACCACTGGGAAACTCCAAAAAAGAGGAGGCAGTTGAGTAGCGTCATACATTACCTGTTTTACGGAGAGGAAAATCATTGTTTGGGTCATAAGTGCCGAGAGACTGCTGATAGTTGGGTGGTGACATATTTTGTTGCGTGGAATTCTGGTCCAAGGATCCATAATGGGGCATCCTATGAAACAGAGACCGCAAAAAGATGTGGTTAATTTCTGGACTCGGTGATCCAGGCCTTATTGTGAGGGAAATATTAACTTCTGATAAGAGTTTCGAAGCAAATGCTCTACGTCTTTATATTAACTGCAGTAAAATACTCGTAATATCTCTGGACGTGCAGAACATGTCACGAACAAATACAGCAAAAAAAGCATTTTGGCTTTGTTTTTTACGCTGCTTTATTTTATATATATATAAAACTGTTACATTTTTCAGTGCAACATGTTCACAAGTATTAAAGATGAATCTGCCTGCATCCTACGGATGTATTTTTATAAAAATGTATTTTAGGATTTAAGGGATAACAATTGAATGCCTCGGGGATAATGAAATCCATTTGAGGTACCCAGGTAGAACACAAGTGTAAGGCATGCGGTACAAATCACAACAACACAAGACGCAATGCGGCAGTGATGACAGAAACATTTTTTGTAAGTTGCTTTGTGGATGTGTGGAGAGCCCTGGGAATTAAGACGTTTGCTCTTTCCTCGTTTCTCAGAGGCGACCGCATTCCTTGACAGGGGAGCCTCGAACAACATTGGCAATCAACTCATGGGAGGGTTTTGCTTTGTACTGAGCCTAAACATACGCAATCCATTATCAGTTATAAGAATCCACGTGGAGTGGTTTTGGAAATTGATCGTGAAGAATCTCTTTTTTTTTTGTTAGCGGTACACAGACTGCACACATAACGCATCTACGGTTGCTCCACCAAGATGAAGCTTTTAGCATTGGCACGTAAAACATCACGGGATGTATGTTTCCAGATTGTGACCTTTGGAGATTGCTATCCTCTTGCAGCTGCGCATGGCCATTACAGTGAAAATAAGGGGTTCGCTCGACAGAAAAGGTGAAGCACCGCTAGCACCGCAAAGCATCTTTTTTTATCACAACACCCTCACATTTAGGATGTGTTTAACTCAAATGGCAAACACTGCTTGATTAATAAACATAGTACCCTACACAATTAGTGGCTACATCAACCCTAAACGTCCCATGTTCATAATGAACATTCCATATTTCACATGAATGAGAAATAATTTTACGTGAGCCGAATAAACCATTGAAATACCATCAAATACCTCGAAAGATACATACAAAGAAGCCCGTGAGAAATGTACCAATGTTTGCATGCGAGATGAGACAGCGGTGGGTGGGCAGGTACCAGAGTTTGTACTGCTGAGACAGGGGTACGGAGATCGAGCCTCCAGCCGCCTCCCTCTGCTTCTTGCTGAGAACAAACTCCTGTAGCCTCTGCTTCACCTCGGAGCTTGCCACTGCACCTGTTGGAAATATCCAGCGCGATGCGACGGACGGCCGGTCAGCACCAAAAGCGTGACTAAAGAGACCTCAACCCGAGCAGTGACCGTGCAGAGCAGCGCAGTGCACGCCTATCGCTCATCGCGAAGGGGGAAAAAAATATGGTCGTAAAACACGTGCCTAATTTGTAACTCTCATTGAGCCGGGCTTTAATGTGTGGCTATGTCTAATTCGTGTGAAATGCTCGAAGAAATTGCTCTTGCAGGTGCTCGCTTGTGTGTAAGACCTGTTTGGAAGAAAAAAAAGCAGCTAAATTCAAGAAAGAAGCTACTTGTTTTAGCCGATGGCTCAAGCTTGAATAATGATGCGTTACTGCGGCTATCTGGAACGTTCTTCGTTCTGATATTAGGAAGCCACTGGAGCTGTGCACTTTTAAATAATCGAGATTGAAAACTAATTTTTATTATGACTGTTAATTTATGTTTCATTTGTCGTCCTTCCCCCGCACATCCAATTAGCATGGTTAGCTACGTATGGTGCTAAAAAGTTCAACATACAATATTATGTCATTACCACAAGATAATGTAAAGCATAATACGACAAGATAAAACAATTTAACATAAAAAAATGTTTAGGAAATGAAATAATTATAAGGTTAAGACACAACTTGAAAAGACAAAAATGTAGACTTTAATTATTATTCCACTTGCAGCTGCATGTGAGAAAAAGTGCAAAGGTTAACGCGTAAATTTACATTGTCTTGTTCTGAGTAATAAAAACAAAAATTACTACGTAAAAAAATACACTTGTTAAAAAAATTGTAAAATACAAGGAAAATAAATGTATATATGGAGTCTACATTTAAATAATGAAACATTTATTTAGAATGAATTCAAATAAAAACCTTAACATTTTCAGGGGAGGGCCGAGTTATTGACACTTTAAAAGAGTCACAACAAAACAGTCCTGATTCTAGTGACAGTGTCCACAAACCAAATCCCCAAATATATATATATCAATAAAAAGTAAAAAGGAGAACATGTACAACATTTGCATATGGAAGGCATAAATTCATAAATACAAGTATTTGCGTACTTTTAATTATGCTCCTGCAATAAATTGAATTTTTAACTGCCCTTTGTATAAGTGGCAGTGCTGATGCGGTGACATGGGCGAGCAGTATCAGTTTAGCTGCTTGTTGCGGAGGTTCACGATTCGAGCCTGGCGGCCAGCCTGGTCAATACTGTGAGTGCATTCAACAAAATATACGTTCCATCTCCATGACGGTGAACGTCACAGAACCTGTGCCACCATTTGTAAAAAGAGGAGGCCACGAGTGCTGGAATCACGGTTCAAATTTGCCGAATAAAAACCAAATTACCTGCAAATTACTTCACTGGATAAAACCACATAGCAACACCGCCTCCTACAGAAAGACTGTATATGTCTGTGACGCATTGTGCCACTATGAAAACCTCGTGCGCGATAAGAATGGCACAAGTAACAAATTAACACATCTAGTATTTTTTGTTTTGTTATAAAATAGTCAACCCAGGGACGGAGGCTCAAGTCAGGCTGAGTGCATTAGAAATGTGCTATGGTGAGAGTCTGGTGGGGGGGAAGTGGGGGGGGCAAGGGGTTGGGGGGGGGGCGGCAGAGGCGGCAGGGAGCTCTACTTGCCTCGCTGCTGCTTCGGCAGCCCAGCGCTGGCATGGCACTGACTCTCTCGCCCACGCTCCTTGTTGCGCAGCACCTGCAGGTGCTGCTCGTGCCGCTGGCTCTCGAGCTCCAGTTCGAGCTCCAGCTCGCGCTTCTGCTGCTCCAGCCGCTCGCGCTCGCGCCTCTGCACGGCCAGCAGCTCCTGCTGCTTCTTGAGCGCCAGCACCTGCTGCTGCTGCTGCATGCGCACGCACCAGCGCCGCGGGTAGAGCGCGACAGCGCCGGTGACATCACTGCCGATTCGAGCGTCCGCTACGGAGCTCGAGTTCAAGTTCATTTATTTCAGTTTCATTTATTAGGTATAGCCCTGTGAGCCATTCGGCTCTTGAATCGGGTGCAACCGCAACAAACAAAAAACAAAAACATGAACAAAAAAACATCTTAAAGTGAATATGTGACTGAGTGCAAACAGAAAATCCAAGAAAAGACAGCAAAATATTGCAGAAAAAACACCGTACACCAACGCTGTGTGCAAAAATCGCGCGATGTAAATCACAACGTCGAACGAATTGATGTTCATCCTCCTCTGCGTTCGAAAGGCGATCGACAAAAATGAAATAATGCCTGACGCAAAATAATCATGAGCGTTGCCTTGGACGAAAATTAGTCATGAAATAAATAAGCGGTCGACACGATGGCTTTCCTTGTCCGTCTCTTCAGTTAAATGTTGTTTTTAATGTGGAGAGACAAATATGGGTAGGTGTTTGAGCTGGGACACACCGTGTTTTCCGCGTAATGTTTTTACTCATAGCAAATGAGTTATTGTCTCACTCTCTTCACCACCCTGCACTGACCAGCATGGTGAAGAATGTTCAAACAACTCTAATAACTGACATGGTAGTGGGAGGCCTTCATCCAGTCGGGCATGAAACGGTATAAATTCATGATGATTATTATTATTAAATTCCAATGATTATTCCTTATTGATGTGGACTCACATTTGTAATACATAATACAAATGTGAGACCCACTGTAATACAGCCACAAACACACAATTGCATCGACCAGAATCAATTCCATACAACAAAAGGCCACATTTTAAGCAAGTCTAATGCATCCTAATACGGTCATTAATTGTACTTCAAATGAACACAAATATTGGCTCTTCTTGTAAACACATCGACTGCCAATAAATACAGCTTCCTGCAAAAAATATAATGTTCAGTTCACATAAGCCATCACTACAGTCATTATGAACAAATTTGTGCTGCCAACACATTGTATTTACAGTTAGATTTATTGTATGTTGGACCAATTATGCAACATGTTTATTCACATTTGACATCTTCTTGCCATCGGCTCCTGTACTCCACCACCTGTCTCCCTATCTGTGACCTCTTAATCTGGTGCAAAAACTACTTTACATATATTGAACACGTGCCAATAATAGCCAAATATCTGGCTTTTACTATGCAAATAGAAATATTTATTTTTAATTCTCACCATGTTAAAGATACCCAAAAAAAATATTGGATGACTCAATAGATTAATTATCAACTACACTTCTAACGACAGTGTTCTAGGATGCTCGAGCCTAATACTCACATTTAAACTCAATTATTCTACCAGGTAAGGCCCACTGAGCTATATATCTCTTTTTCAGAAGCGACCTGGCCACAAATGATAGCTCAACGAAGTGGCTTATCATGTGGAAATGTATAGCAGCTAAATACTAGAAACACATGGTTTCTAAATGTGGAAGAAAAAACCCGGGTACCCGGAGAAAAATCCATATGACCACGGGGGAAATATACAACCTCCAAATATACAGGCATCAGGGTCAGGATCTCAACCTCCTGTATACCAGGCGAGGTAGTTAACATCACACTATTTAGTGGTGGTGATGAAAATAACCAAAACAAATTCTATATAAGACCAGCTTCTGTGCGTCTCCAAAATATGTGCAATACAAAATATTTCAGCATGCTAAGTGAGAAGCACATTCATTCCCCACATTGTTATTTGCCAAGATGAACTGACTGACAGTCCTTACAGCTCAATTGAGCCTTTGACAAATGTGCGTGGCACACTCAATAACCTTGGCAAATAATTTAGCCCTCGTTGAAACGGTTCTCAATGAATAGATCTGCTGGTTAATATTGTAATGTTGGCATGTTTTTTTTATCTTGCAGGGGTCAGGCCTTCATGTTTTAGATTCATAAGTGGATCTGTGTATTTATGAAACGAGGCCCTAATACAAAACAGCAACTAGAGGCTTTTGTCAACGTATATCAATTGTGGTAGCGCCGAACATGTCGAGCTGAACGCAAACTTCCTTCTAACACACGTTGGTGCAAGGGGCAGTTCTGCAAGCCACAATTACTAAATGAATATCGCACCAACGAGAGAAATTATTTTTCCATATGCATCTAGGATTTCAAACAGCTTGGTGTCATCTATGTTTTGTGAAATTAACATTACTAGGTGATTTAAATACAATAGCAGATGGTCACCTAAGTACGTTTTTGGAATCTCCACTATGTATATGTCTTAAATATTTATTTGAATCTTCCCGAGCACGTACAATTTTACGCTGTGATATTTTCACTATTCTCAAAACATAAATAACAGCACCTAATAAAAACAATGATGACTGCAAAAATCATTCTTATCTTGCTTGCAGAGTTCCATGATTGGAGAAGATGTATGTATTGTATGAAAAAGGACATGATGAATAATGAATAGTTTATGCAGGACGTTTGAAGGAGAGATATTGCATTTTGGGCCAATGAAATGTTACATGGTGGACAGGCCACAGGCATTTTTTAGGGAAAAAACATTTGATTTGACATTTCTTGTGCCTTGAAAAACATAATAACCACAGCGGCAGCATAGTGTGAGCATCGGTCAAATAAAGACAATAGATTATTTATAGTCTTGTCCTTTGAAATGCTTTGCATGGAATAAATCGTCAAATATACTCATTCTGGGTCAGTCATGTGTCTCTTCAGGGACCAGAATCCCCAAGGTTGCATTAGTCAGAAAGCAAGAGGCCAAACAAAAATAAATTGAGACCTCAGCAACTGGAGCCCCATTCCTTAAGCAGTCTTGAATAAACCAGGTTTATCACGAAGTGTCTTTCAGAGAGAATCTACATACACGAACAGCTGCATAACGTTTATCAGGTGTCCGTAATGTTGCAATAGAATTATACTTCTTACATTAAATAAAAATAATCGAACACTAATAATCCTATCACTTGGGAGAGGTGGTGCTGTCGTTAGTGCACGCGTTTGAATGCGGGACACTACGTTAGATTCCTTATCACGGTTACATCAGTGACGAGTACTATCCAAAATTATCCTGGGCCCTCCCTTCACTGACTCGCATTTACCAGTGTGGTTAAGTATGGCCTAACTACTCCAGTCACTGAGTTCTATAATTGAGTGGTACTGAGGTGGACCATTTGCCTCACAATCATAATTGCGGTCGGAAATTGAATTATAATAATTAATAAAAATGTATAAGGGTCTTAAAAATTTATTTCTCAGGGCGCTATGTGAATTAATCCATCAGCCCTTCAAGATCAATACAAAAAATTGCCATTCTGAGAGAAGTTAACAGTGGTAGTTCTATGCATTGACTGACCCGTCATCGGCATGTAGAATTTCCACCACTGTGACAGAACCCCCAGGAGAGAGGAGTACCATACGATGCTGATTTAATCAATCAAAGACTACTGCGTAGGTTTTCACGGTTGTCACGTACGATTTTCCAAAGTTTTTTTTCTTCTGGATTCTACTGCGGTGTTGTTCGGCACGACCTCCAACGTTTCACTCCCAGCTCCCAGCACGTGTGGTTCGTGCTGAACCGCACGCGGCGCGACCCGAAAACAAACAAAAATGATAGCTCAACGAAGGATGACCTCGCGCACCTTGATGTAGTCATGGAGCTGAGCCTGGTGTTGCCGGGCCAGCTGTTCCTGCCTCTGCTGGAAATCTGCGAGCAGCAGCTGCTGCTGAAGCTGGTGCTGCTGCTTCAGCTGCAGCAGCTCACTCTGCAGCTGCTGCTCGCGCTGCCGCAGGGTCCACGGCTGGCATCGTGGCCCCGGGCTCCTCGCGCACCAGCGGGAGGGAAGGGACCCCCGTCTGCACCAGCGATGCAGAAGAGAGAGAGAGGGACAGACAGAGATGAGACATGCGAATGAATGGTATGGTCAAGTATGGGTTCCTCGGTAAGCGTGCGACTATGCGATACAGCGCAAACAGCAGGGCATAACATCTGCAAGTAGGCCAAGAGAAAGAGAAATCCTATCCTGGGACAAAAAAGTAAAAAAGAAGTAAAAAAAACTTCTATGTATGTTGAATTTCTTCTACACCGTGCGTAGCCAACCGTGCCAATCGTGTACATATTGCAACTGTTTATGGTGTGTATGGTATATAAAGACGTGGCTTCGAGTAAAGCTGAAATTGCATTGTGCCTGTATAACAAGAAGCCTCCATTAACTATAATGCTAATAGATTTTTGACCAGTCCAGCTTTTGAATGTAATGAGGCAAAGGAAAACACATTTGTGCCATCTTTTTATTTTATTTTATATTTGAAATCAGTGTTTGTATAATAGTGAGTAATGTGTTCTAGATAGTTATACATGGCACTAAGTTAGCTATTCCAGATCAGCGTGAAATTTGTACCAATGCTTGCACAGGCCTTAAAAAATGCACCTGTTTTCAGATCATCCATGACTAACTCACATAAACAAGGATCGCACAGTACTGCCTGCAAGATTATACAAGCTGGAACGTTTAAATAAAATTACACGTGTAAATACACCTCATGTACATTGATACAGGGGTAACAGATTCATTCCTACATGGATCAAATTTGCGACGCGCACACAATTTAATTTAAACAGACGTTCAGAGGCACGGGAGAATAAATTAATATCAAAGAAAAGTTAAAAGGTCAACAACACCCGTGCCAACATGCAGAGTGAGTGCATTCCAGAGAACTGCGACAGAGAAGCAACGTCTGCCTTGTCTGGTTGTAAAGACGGTGCTTGGCAAGGCGGTGGGAGACCACTTGAGGCAGACCGGAGGTTATGAGATGGAATGTACGACGAGACGTCGGCAGCTAACTGGGCCGGTTGACCCAGGACGCGTGTTTGTGCTCTGTAACGGAGGACAGCGACTTTGTACTGGATGCGTCGTTGCACCGAAAGCCTGTGAAGTTGATTCAGAATGTCGGAGGTATGGATGAAAGGGTCGCTGTCTAGTGCTGAGCACTGAGCGGGCGAGCTGGTTTTGAATGCACTGGAGATGCTTGAAAATTGCATTCATAGGAATGGCCGGATTAAATTTGATAGGGGCCTCGGGGTGTTATAACAGCGTTGGGGGCCCATATATGTATGTTCCATTTATCAATAAAGATTCAACAAAAATTCGTTCATGAAGTCATTCATATAAACAGACGTGGACACAATTTCAACCGAGAAGATGGGTACAAACTCAGCAATCACTGGAAGGACGTTATCAACGAGTTTAAGTCATAACTGGCTTTAATGTTTCAATTTTAGGCCTGGCAGCCCTTTAATTGGTGGAAGCCCACCACCAGGACCATTATGTCCACTCCATTTTTTGGTGGAAGCCCGTCCACCAGCAACCTATACTAACAACAACTAACATCACCTTTAGCAGCTCTAGCAGCAACTTCCCTCACATTAACATTAGCTACCCCGCCCATGCTGCTGACACTTGGGCTACGCCCGTCTCTAAACCTTTATAAACAGTTTGCCTTTCGAGGCTAACCCCCTTTTCCTGATGACAACCGCTTGTGCTGCAATCGAAACGTCATAGTTTTTTGGTACTTTCTTTGAACCTATCTACGTGACTTTACCGAAAGACCCAAAAAAAATGAATTCCTGCGGTCACGAAAGCTTTAAGTCAAGATTTATATTCCATTTGTTCCCCTTTATGTTACTAGATAGCAGTGAATGTGTGCATGCCTGATGCCAAACACTTTCTTGTTGTTACATTGGTTATTTCCTTTCTAGATGGTGTTTAAATGTCATGTGTGAATTGTAAAGCTAAAATAAAATAAAAACAAATGAAAGCTAATTACATTTTGGCATGCAAGTGGCAAGTAATACACATAGTGATGCTATGGTCTTAATCACCAAATTACCCACAGGATTTATCATCGTGCTGTAATATTGCGTTTCAACCATTATAAATAAGTATATATTTTTGGAGGTCCTCAAAATCTGAGACCCTGGTCTGCAAGTCCCTGAAGCCCCTGGCACTAATCTGGCCCTGTTCACAGGGTGTGTGAAACGGTCGTGGTTGCAAGTGTAGATGCAATCATCACACTTGTTTTTGTCATGCAAAAAGGGCAATCACTGCCTTTAAAATTGCATGATGATCACGTATAATATAAATGGAAATGTGGTTCATTCATCTGAGAAAAATGGCCAGTACCGCCGACACAAATTGCCAATGCCATTTTGTCTTAGTATTATTATTCCAGTTATTTAAAACATAATTTAATGATCCTTGCACTCATGCCATATTATGGTTTGTTTTATTTCAACATTTATTACCATAGCGTGTACAATAAATGTAGCACTACATTGGAGTATGAAATAACACACAAAGGAAAGTGCCATATTGTGCATTAACCATTATATTTGGAGTAATTTCAAAAGGATCAGTCAATGTCCACAGCTGGGCAGTAATAAAATTAACCCTTTGGAAATTTCAATGTGAATAAAAAAAACTGCAGGCTAAACTAATTTACTGCGTGTTACTTCACGTTTCCCTGCGAGCATAACACGGCAAGCCAATCTTTCCACATTACAACGTGTCAAGCCTTAATAAGCAGTGCCACTGGAAAACCAGCACAAGCATTAACAGCCTTTGATAAATTTAACACTGCTGCAACAAAGATTACATAGACATAAAATCTCTAATCCTGCAAAATGCTGAGAGATTTGTCTCGGCTGAAATGTTTGCGCCGCTTGTTATAAGCACAGTGCTCTGGAAATAGTGTGGAGATGAACGTCGAGTTTTCATTGCAGTTAGCTCCAGGGCTTGCGATGGTCGACCTCAACCAAACATAGTTGGATGCGCAGTCGGGTTTAGTTTTCCAGAAGACAGGGTAATATTTGGTGTAAAAACAGCAACAACTGCACCTGACGTGGAAGTTGGGAATTGCAGTCACAAGGTGTGATTCCGATTGCCCACTCTGAAGATCTCACACATTTACGAAGATCGCAAGAAAGCTGACCTATGCTCAACACAAATCAGCAGTTGTAAGACAAACCAGAGCTATTTCAGGCACGAAGTACACGTTAGCTCTTTGCACGACGGCTGGAGGCTGTAACTAAATGTGTTATTCAACAGTGACCCAGTGCACCCCAAGATTGGACCGTGAGCAACACGGAAACATTTTAAAGGGATCCTTACAATTTGGATAGAATGTATAGAGCAGTACTTCGTTTAGTAAAAATTAACCCGTAAAAACAAAGTTTTTCACTCTAAATCCTTTATATGCGTGGTGGCTAGAGTCCTCTCGTCCTCTGGCTTGAGATGGCTGCCACCTATGGGTCAGATGATTATCTGCCAGCATTAAGCAATTGGTAATTAAATATTTAATTAGTTTTCCATAAACAGTGTAAAATTTTGGAAAAAAAATTTCACAAACATTAATTGTCTCGCACAACGAGTCTGTGTGCAAAATGTCAGCTCGATTGGATAACGGGAAGTGGGTTAAAAACGACCGAAAGATTTGCACGGTCGTAAGCAAGCAAGCAAGCACGCAAGCAAGCAAGCGAACTTAATATAAAGGATTTAAAAAAATACATATTACAAAAAAACACGTTTAAAATAAAATATTGTTGTACATTAAACCATACTTCAAGGAAATTAATAGCTACTGAATCTAGGTAGCACTTATGTATAACACGTTATTAAGTCTGTAATGCTTATTTAACACCACGTTCCATAAAATAATCACAACATATTGCGATTTGAAAGAGTGTTATGTTGACTAAATATTAACCACGCATATTTTTTCTATTAAAACAAATAATCAAGATGAGTAAACATCTATGTATGGCAGAGATTGATTGGCAATTAACCTCTCAGAGCAACATTGCAATTTGCATGTGCTCGGCAATCGGGGTATTTGTCTGAGAGTGAAGGTAGATCCTGACTCATTGGATGCTGATTTGGTCATAACTGTCACAGTTATGTGTGGAGGTCACTACATAATTGGCACGTGAAAAAGCATATTAAACACATGTTGGAAATATATGTTATTTACTTCTATACTTAATGAACAAAGGATCAAGTATACAGAAATATAAATAATATCATCATAACATGATGGTTATTGATTATACATGCTGATTTTATTTATATGGTTCCAATGCAGATTTGCAATACAATTATAATCCATCGTTTTATTGAATTTAATATTCGATTAAAGAATAATCTGAAAATCCAGTGGAATGTGCACATTCATTTGCAGCATATTCATTTGCAGCGCTTTGAACGGTTACAATGATGCACAAATCAACATGGCATTGAATACCAAATCAAATAACAAGAGCATTGAAACTTCCCTAGTAATTAAAACGATCAAAATACGTACATTGCGGAAGTAACTGATAAACTAGCCAGATGTTTGTAAAAACAAAACATCCGAGTCAGATTTGTCACAGTACATAAAATACAGAAATTAATATCTGGTACAAAACATGTATTACCGAAGCTATCAACAGAAGGTGTGTACAAGAATAACTGCACGTGCGGTAAATGTTATGTTGGGCAAACAGAACGAATAATCAGCACGAGACTAAAAGAACATCAGAAAAATATTAAATTCTCCGACATACAACTGTCAGCAGTAGCAGAACACGCGTGCCAACAAGGACACTCAATTGATTTTGATGATGTTGAAGTTTTGTGCAAAACTAGCTACTACTGGCCAAGACTAATTAGAGAATCTATCGAAATTTAAAGAAATCAAAATAACTTTAACCGTTCAGATAGCTACCGTCTTAGTGCTGCGTGGAAGCGAATCATCAAATAATACATTATTTAAATGCATGCCTGCAAAGAGCAGTGTACTACCGTTGGTAGGGCTATTTTAATAAACACAATAGACAGGAAGGACAAGTTCAAAGGGCTCGCATAATG